ACACACACACACACACACACACACACACACACACACACACACACACACAAATGGGGATCCCAGCCTGGCTTCCTCTTGCTTCTTAGGGTGATGGAGGGTAGGACGGGAAGGGGAGAGGGTTTAAATAGTGTCCCCAGGACAAGCATAAAGCCACCCAGACCCCAAGTTCTGGGCTAGTTGGCCTTGTTTCCGGCCTTCTCTCACCGTTTTCCTGTTCTGTCATCAGCTTGTTCCTTATAAACAGCCAGATCGCCTCCTGGCTGTGGCCATCCAGCCCCACTTTGCCTAATCCAGGTCCCATGCCAGGCACATCACCCAGGAGACGGTCCTTGCTACTTCTCTCTGTCTTGTCTTCAAAATATTGCACCCTGGTCTTCTCCAGCTCCTCCACTCGGGCTTTCAGCTTCCTTACCTCCTCCGCTATGATGGACACATGGGAACCAGCCGTGAGGACCGAATCTGGCTCCTGCTCTGGGGCCCTGGGCCTGGGGGAAGGGGCTTCTTCACACCCCTGGGCACGTATTTCAGGAATACTAGTGCAGAGACAATCCTTGTGGCCAATAGCAGCCAGCATCCTTAAGGAAGCCCGGGCCTGTCTGGCTCTCCTTCCTCAGGGAGGTGGAGAGAGACGGCAGGGAAAGAGATCTCGGGCAAGGTAAAGGCTGAAAGACCATGAGACAGTGAGGCCATATTAAAGGCCATCAGTTCCGGAACCCAGGGTGGAGCCAGGACCTTAGATTCCCAGTGCTTAGTGACCTTGAGACGTGGGCCAGGCGTCTCAAGCCGCTGTTTCCTATCAGTAGGAACACAGGGTTTGTGACTGTAACCTCCGGCCCCTGTCAGCTCCAACACTCAGGACCACTCGTGGTTTCCCATCCCTAGGAGGATGGGGTAGAGGGGCTGGGGCCTTCAGGCTCTGTGGCCTTGGCACCTACCCAGAGCAATGAGGCCAAAGAGCAGACCCAGCAGCAGCAGCCAGGTGAGCAGTAGGCCCAGCAACCACTTCCACCAGCTGCAGCAGGAGCCGCAGGGGCACCAGGCAGGCGCAGCCCCCCAGGTTCCTCCACCGGCACCGGCACCGGCACCGGCACCGGCGCCGCCTCTGGCTCCACCACCGCCTCGGTCATAGTTATGGTTTTCTGTGGAAGAAACAGGGAGGGTGAGTTGAATTCAGGAGGCTCCTGCCCGGCTCCCTTCAAAATTGGTGGCGTCATGGGTGTCGGGTGTGGAGGGTTTGAGTTTATGTGCAGCTTCTCATGAAAGTAAGTCTGAGCACCCCAGGCTTTGGATGTGTGACTCTCACAAGATGGTTTTTAAAAAGCGAGGTTAAATAGTTTCTGTTGTTGTTTTGTTTATTCTGTTTTGGGGGTCTTTTGTTTTGTTTTTTTTTTTGTTTGTTTTGTTTTCTGTTTTTGGATCACTCAGATAAACCCTGGTGATTGTTTTGGGGGTCTTTTGTATTGTTTTTTTTGTTTGTTTGTTTTGTTTTCTGTTTTTGGATCACTCAGATAAACCCTGGTGACAAGGAAAAGGACAACACAAAGGTGTGAATCCAAGTATTGCTTAAGATGCAAACAGCACAATTTGTGAAGCAGTAGGCAAAGTTAAAGTATACTTTTCTGAGCAAAGAAACAGGATACTAATCCCAGCAAAACAGCCATGTGTATCACGAGTGCTATGCTTCTTGGTGCTAATAATAAAGGGATCCCAAGCAAAAAAAAAAAAAAAAAAAAAAAAAGAGGTTCAAAGATGACCTGCTTCATTAAACAGTTATGGGATTAAACAAAACTAGACCCGTAATGAGTGGAGGAAGCAGCCAACGGCACCGGGTTTAAAACATCTTCATGGTTAGGAGTGTCACACGCGTCTGCCTCAGCGCCTGCCTCTGACTGGGCCTGAACCTACAGCTCTGGTCACTACACCTGCCTTGACACAGCTCACCCTTGGTGGTTCCCACAGTTGCCTAGAGTTACACTTAGCACCATAAACCTAAAAATATATTTTAAAAGGCAAGGGCTGGCAGATCTCTCAGGGAGATGGGAACTCCATGCACTTCTCTCCCAAGGTAGGCAGAGGAGGAGGTGAGGAAAGGGCAGAGGCTGGAGCAAGTGCAAGAATGCCATCTTGGGCCTGGCCTGCTGTGCCTGCCCTGGTGGGGGACTTAGGGTCCGTGTGACTGGCCATTAGGAACTGTGGGCCCGTGGGGCATCATCTGGGTGACCCGAGCCTGTCCACTCCCGTTTCCCATCCTTCTCCCTTTAGGGAGTCAGATCTGGGTAGCTCATGTGTGTGCACAGGCTCCAGGCAAGTGCCATCATGTGTCCCATGGCCAGCCTCTTGGATCTTTCACAGCAGGGTCCCCCACTCTCACTCACCTACAGAGGTGGCCTTGCCCTTTGTGGACACAGTATTTAGGTCTCCTAAAAGTACAAACATAAGTTGGAAGCTGAACTGGAGAACTGGAAAAAGCACACCTGCACACACACATGTACTCCCCCACACATGGAAGGAACCACACAGAGCACCCACACACGAGAACTTCCCACACAGGGCACCCCACACACGCACCCCCCACACATGAACCCCCCCCCACCAGAGCACGCACACACCACCCCACCCCCCCTCCCAAACACACACACTCCCCA